GTTGCCCATGGTGGACAGGTTTCAGCAGAGCTTCCAGACTGAGAGACTCAGAAGAAGGAAAAGGTCATTCACTTCTCAAAGAATTGGCCAGGGAAAATCTTATGAATAGCAGTGAAACATTGTCTGATACTAAACTCAAGTCACTGCCGTCGAGTTGGATATGACTCACAGAGTGGCGTAGTGCCTAAGGCATTTGACTGCTAACCAGAAGGCTGGTGACTTATACCCACCAGCCACTCCTCGGTAGGAAGTCTGGGCAATTTACTTCTATAGAGATACTGCATTGGAAACCCAAGGAGAGGTCGTTATGAGTCGGGAACGACTCAACAGCAGTGAGTCTGATACATTACTGGACAATTTTATGAATAGCCCTGAAACATTGTCCTATACAGTGCCAGAAGATGAACTCCTCAGGTTGGAAGACACTCAAAATACCACTGGGAAAGCACTGCCTCATCAGAATAGAACTGATCTTAATGATATGGATAAAGCAAAGCTTTCAGGACTTCCATTTGCTGATGTGGCATGACTCAAACTGAGCAGAAACATCTGGAAACATCCATTAATAATCAGAAGATGGAATGTATGTGGCATGAATCTAGGAAAATTGGAAGTTGTCAAAAATGAAACAAAATACATAAAGATTGATATCCTAGGCATTAGTGAGCTGAAATGGATTGGTTTTGGCCATTTTGAATCAGACAACCACATGATCTACTATGCCAGGAATGACAAATTGAAGAGGAATGTCATGGCATTCATCATCACAAAGAATGTTTCAAGCTCTATCCTAAAGTGCAATGCTGTCAGTGATAGGATAATATCCATACACCTACAAAGAAGGCCAGTTAATACTACTATTATTCAAATTTATGCACCAACCACCAAATAAAAGATGAGGAATTTGAAGATTTTTATCAACTTCTGCAGTCTGAAATTGACCAAACATGCAATTAAGATGTGCTGATTATCACTGGTGATTGGAATGCAAAAATTGGAAAAAAAGAAGAATCACCAGTAGTTGGAAAATTTGGCCTTGGTGATAGAATAGCACTGGAGAGCGCATGATAGAATTTTGCAAGACCAATGACTTATTCATTGCAAATACCTTTTTTCAACAACACAAACGGTGGCTATACATGTGGACTTCACCAGATGGAGTACACAGGAATCAGATTGAGTACATCTGTGGCAAGCGGTGATGGAAAAGCTCAATATCTTCAGCCAAAACAAGGCCAGGAGCTGATTGTGGAACAGACTATCAACTGCTCATATGCAAGTTCAAGTTGAAGGTGAAAACAATAAAACAAGTCCACAAGAGCCAAAATATGACTTTGAATATATCCCTCCTGAGTTTAGAGACCATCTAAAGAATAGATTTGATGCATTGAACACCAGTGACCAAAAAACCAGAGGAATTGTGGGATGACATCAAGAACATTATCCATGAAGAAAGCAAAAGGTCATTAAATATACAGGAAAGGAAGAAAAGACCAAAACGGATGTCAGAAGAGACTCTGAAACGTGTTCTTGAATGGAGAGTAGCTAAAGCAAATGGAAGAAATGACAAGATAAAAGAGCTCAACAGAAGATTTCAAAGAGCAGCTCGAGAAGACAAAGTCAATTATTATAATGAAATGTTCAAAGACATGGAGTTAGAAAACTAAAAGGGAAGAACATGCTTGGCATTTCTCAAGCTGAAAGAACTGAAAAAAAAATTTAAGCCTCGAGTTGCAATATTGAAAGTTTCTATAGGCAAAATACTGAACGATGCAGGAAACATCAAAAGAAGATGGCAGGAATACACAGAGTCATTGTACCAAAAAGAATTGGTCAATGTTCATCCATTTCAGGAGGTGGCATATGATACAAAACTAATGGTACTGAAGGAAGAAGTCGAAAGTGCACTGAAGGAAGCGGTGAAAAACAAGGTTCCAGGAATTGACGGAATACCCATTGAAATGTTTCAACAAACGGATGTTGCTCTGGGGGCACTCACTTGCCTATGCCAAGAGATTTGGAAGACAGCTAAGTGGCCAACTGACTAGAAGAGATCCATATTTGTACCCATGCTTGGTAAAGTGGAAGATCAATGAAAGAGTAGAAGGCCCTGAACAAGATGGTTTGACACAGTGGCTACAATGATGGGCTCAGGTATAGCAAGGATCGTGGAGCTGGCACCAGATGGGACAGTGTTTTGTTCTGGGGCACAAAGGGTCACTATGATTCAGAGACAACTTGACAGTACCTAAAAACCACAACAAATCATTATCAATAACTAGAACCATGACTTTAACAACAAATGACTTATGATAACTTGATCTCTTTAAAAACACCTATCATATTGTTGTTGTTGTTGTTGTTGTTAAGTGCCGTCAAGTCATTTCCGACTCATAGTGACCCCATGCACAGCAGAACGAAACACTGCCCGATCCTGCGCCA